AATGACCTACGGCACGTACCTTTAAATTTCTCCTGAAGTTCGTCCTCGTCGACCGAATTCAACTGACTCGAGAGAAACAGCAGTGGCTCGAGCACGTGGCGATAGTGTTTGGTTTATACTGCTCGCGCATCGATGGGCCGTTGAAATGCCCGGACGAAGAAAGGACGTAGATATATATAGCCCAGTTCCCATAGGTTTTTAAAAGGCAATAATTAGAAATAAAGTTCTATTGAATGAATAGCAGTATATAGACGTCAATTTAATATATTTCATTTTGCAGAAATGAATTTAGAGGGGAATCAAAAAAAAAGGAAAGAAGAATATAGACGTTCTAATATATGGCATGTGATAATGTTACAAAGAAATAACAATTTTTTACATTTCCCTCCTGATGGAAGTGACCACCACCTTCCCGTGGTTTCCATTGAACGGTAGCGTGCACGTTATTCTTTTACCTATCGTTACAATTATTTTGTTATGTAAAGTTAAGTCAAATATATAACATTTGATTGTGTGTAACAATTTGATACGGTTATTAAAAAACATAGTGGGAAAAGTCAGTAGTAATCTATTTCTGTAGCGTGCACGGTACTGGCTAAGAGTGGTTTTTCATTTTAATTAACCCTTAATTAACCCTTTACGAGTAAGACTGCTTTGAACAACATTATTCTAAAATATTTGTGGAATACGTTTTTTATGTGGTTTAGGTAGGTATGCAAGGCATAAGATTTCGTTTAATTTTTCCTGTCTAGGAAAGATAGGAGAAAAATATATTTGATCTTAATCCTTCTTAAGATTTATATAAATCGCTTTAAAAATTTGTTACAAATGATGTGTATGTATCGAAATAATTATAAAACTAAAAACGTATAATCATCATTATATGGGAGCTGATCACGCTTAAAATATAATGAGACCTTAAAACGAGAACATAAAACTTAAATGTTAAGTTTCATTGAAATTCATTCAGCCGTTTAGACGCAATCATGTCAATAGCATAGGAACAAAAAAAAAATATGTTTTTTTGTAGTAGTCACAATATGATGAGGGGGTCCTAAAACGTGTATTTCCGCTAAAAAAAAATTTCGAAATATTTTTTTCGTTATTGAAATTCACTTATTGTTAGTCGTTGAGGAACAAAAAAAATGTCTTTTTTTCAATAGTCACAATATGATCAGGGGGTCCTAAAACGTGTATTTCCGCTAAAAAAAAACTTCAAAATTTTTTTCATTATGATACTTTATAAATTTCCTTATACCTTACATATAGGTCGGAAAGTAAATATGCTGGGGCAGTCGAGACTTGGAATCGTATGCCACTTATCGCGAGATCGTATTTCAGTTGTTTTGTCTTTTACAAGAGCAAGAAGGAAAGGCTCACACTAGCGTTCTTTATCGATTTCCCGAAGTTGTGCGCAAGCGCCGAGCTCACGTACACGTGGCTCGTGCGGTAGTGTATGCCTGCTATCCCCACCATTCCGTTAGACGCTAAGGAAGTTCGTCGTCACTGTTGTCGATTTCGATGCACTCAATTATGCCCGATCTGGCCACACTGCTTGTCTCTCGAGGCCCAGGGAGTACCTAGGGACAAATTCCCTATAGCATCCCGGCCTCTCTCAATGGTTGGCATCGGCGCCACTCGCGCCATCTGCGGGAGTAACTAGGGAGTTACTAATGCTCCCTACAAAAGCATGTATACGAATACCCTGCGTATTTCTTAATTCCTAATTCCATTCTACGCGTCTGTCTAACATATATAAAATTTAATTCGCCTTAAGATTTATATGAAACATTTAAAAGATTTTTTATACATTATGCCTATACATATATCGGAACAACTATGAAACAAGAGGTATAATCACAGACGAGGTATATGAATAGACCTTTCACGTAATGTAATTTTTCGGCCGGAGTTTCTGGGGTCCCGGGACCCCATTACCATTTTCGTGTCACTCGCAACGTTATCAACAGATTCGGAAATTAACACAAGAGGAAGTGAGACAGAAATTAAAATTACATAAATTTTATTATTTTTTAACGGAATTAAAGTTGTAGGGTCTATCATTGGACATTAATCGATTAATTTCATTGGAGAAATCAATCGATTAAGAGTATTTAAAAATTTCAAGATTATTAAAATTCCTAAGGATGTATTTCATTGATACGTACACCGCAAATTCTCTATTTTTTATTTTAAATTGTAATACATCATTTATTAAAAAAATAACTCGGCAGAAACGTATTTGCGACTCGAAATCAGTGTTATCAGACTGTGCATCGGGGCCCCGGAAACTCCTCATTCCTCACTTTCGCACACTATGCCCAATTGCGTGTACGTGAGCTCGTTGAATTTCGGAAGAGCCAAAAAGAACAGGCTGATACTCGCTTTCCTTCTCGCTCTTGCATCGCTGACGTCGCTTACATTTCTCGAAAGCAAGCCTGGCATCGCCACCCGTTCGAATCGTCAGTAAACGACAAAAGCCATCGTGACTGACAGACCTTATATTTCTCTCGAAATCGGACCTGGGCGCTTTTGGAAGATTCATTGACTTTCCATACGAAGCGACCATGCGTTATATACATATACATGTTATACATGCTAGGAACTATAAGTTGCATAACTTTCGTCGTATGTCTACTTTCTAATAACATGGGAAAATTTTAAAATATAAAAAAATGTAAGAATACTGTAGAATTTTTGCAATGAAGAATTATTGAAGGAAAATGAATTGATTATATACATATGTAAATATCGGACACATCCCTCGCAAACACGCTGCAAACATTAATGAGAACAAAACTGCAAATCTGTCCTTTTTTAAAACCCCGCAACTGATCTTTGACTCGCAACTTGTCCTCTTCATTTAGCAATTATAATAAATGTAGACTCATTAAAATTCGTAAAAATAACAAAGTTATAGCCATTTAGAGGGAACAGTACCCAACGGTTAATAATCATACCAGAAATTTTAAATGAGTTTTTCTCGAAACCATATTTTCGAAATTGGCTGACATAATATCACAAATTCATACTGATTAATGGATTTGAAATTTATAGAGACATGCCTGTATGTTAGAAATTTTGCCTTTGACGGGTCTGGGGTAAGTCCTGTGCCGTTCCTCACAGTGCTCTTACCGGAAGGTCCCACGCCTTCCCCACTCCGTGGCCAGATCCTTCAGGACAAAGTCTTCATTTTTTCCAGCAGTACGACGTCAGGTCGTCTGCCTCTTTTAACTACTCTCTCTCCATTCATAAACAATCAATGCCTCGACACGCGCTACCTGGAGACCCAACGCGGTCGTCCGCTATCGCGTCACCCGTTGCCAGGCCTGGTTAGTCTCATTCGCTCTTTAGGCCACATGCACCCCAAAACTCTGTCATAAATGTATCGTAGACTGAGCGTCCTTCAGTGGTCCTTACATTCGACTCTCTTGGAAAATACATTGTCGCTAGCGTTTCTGGAAAACAAAAGCCGATCCCCTATTTCGGGGGAATGTCCACGCGCCGCGTCCAACCATTGTTGCCGTGGCGAAATCGACTTTTTTGCCTTCGCCTTCGAAAAAGATTAAGCAAAAGAGTTTTCTTCATTGAAAGAACAAAAATTTTCCAGTCCTTTATTTTCAGTAGGGGCGGTCTCAACTTCCATTCATTTTCATATGATTGATTTTAAAGAGTCAGCGTTTTTTTAAATTGCTAAACAAAGAGGACAAATAGGACAGTATTCTCAAATATTTTCAGATTTAAAAATTAAAAATTACAGTGAAATTTATTCGGTTGTTTAGACCCAATAGTATTAATAGTATAAATATACGAACGCACGTTCATAAGCATAGTAAAAAAATGTCTTTTTTTTAATAGATAAAATATGATCAAGGGGTCCTAAAACGTGTATTTCCGTAAACAAAATTTTTGTTTCATTATGGTATTTTGCTTATACATTGTATACGCCTACATAGGTCGGAAAGTCAAAAATGCCTGGGCAGTCGAAAATCTCGGCTCGAGATTATGCGAGACCGAATTTCAGCTGTGTTGAGAGCAAGAAGGATAGACTCACATTCGCCGCCTTTCTCGAATCCACGAAGCTATACGAAACACCAGAACTCATATACAAGGTGGTTGGCATTAGTGTGTGTAAGTGGAGGGGCAGTTCCCTTTGGGCACGGGTCTGCCGTCTGATAATACTGCACTGTCTTTTTCAATCCCTCCCATAGTCAACTCACATGTATTTACGCATAACTACAGCTGGCTGCCCATCAATACTAATTCAGTGCCTAGTTTTTCAACTGACCGCCATCCATGAGAAGAGGCCGCTAAAATCACCTCCGAATTTTCAGGTCGGTATGGCAGTCAGATTCGGCCGCGAAAGTCCATAAGGTGAAAGGTCTATTCATATATCTCGTCTGTGGTATAATCATTATTATCCATGGACTGATTATAGTCAAAGTCTAACCGGACTTTGAAATGAGAACATAAAACTTAAATGTAAAGTTTCATTTAAATTCATTTGGCTATTTATACTCAATCGTATTAATAATATACATATGTGTGCTCATACATGGGAATAAAAAAAAATTTCATTTTTTCAATAATTAAAATATGATCAGGAGGTCTTAAAACGTGTATTTCCGTAAAATAAATTTTACAAAATTTTTTTTTCATTATGGGTACTTTGCTTATGTGCGCCTACATAGGTCGGAAAGTAAAAATGCCTGGGCAGTCAAGAATCTCGGCTCGAGAATCCAAATCGTATGCCGTTGACGGGAGGTCGGATTTCAGTTGTTAAGAGCGAGAAGGCAAATGTGAGCCCTTCTCTCTCGACTCCCACGGGGCGATCCGAAATTACTTCGGGCAGCTTCGGAGAATCGAGAAAGAGGGCATGCGTTAGTTTGCCTTTGTCGTCTTTCCGAAACTCCACGAGCTCACGTACGCGTATCTAGCATGTGTGCGTGTGCACCCGGCGGTGCTTTTCTGGCATCTCTGATCACAATCATCTTAGGGAATTTGTTGCGTCGTAAAACGTGGCAAAATTCGAAACGAAGAATGTATGTAAACGAAAATTCTGTTTATTTCCTTAAAGTTATAAAAATGTAGTAACTGTTCGATTATATTAATATTGTTCACAATTCGTTTAAAGTGAAAACCATAAAAATTTCTATGAAACACAGAGAGTATTGAGTCAAGTCAGTACTAGGGATATCATAATAGTAACAAAACTCGTCGATGAAAAATCGTTCGAAAATATAGGAGGCGACCAAACTGATAACATTGTAATTACTATTTCGTATGCCTATCAATGTAATCATTAACAGCTGTAACGTAGAAGCAATATTTAGTAACAATTGATGCTTTCTTATTTGACTCTCTTTTCGTTTTGATTGCAGCTGGAAAAATATTGGCAAAATGCCCAAAGAAAATACTATGAGCCAAATTTTTTCATTAATTCCATATCCATTTAGGATACCAGCAGTAAACAATGCCAGAGGTGCAACGTCGACAATCTTGGAGTACCAATCGTAGAAAATCCTTAGATACTTCGCTATTATGGTTGTTGATGTGATAAATGGAACTCCTGGAAGCAACATTGCTACAAATAATGTGCTTAATACTTCACATACGTAGTACAATGTAAGTGCTACTATGTTACTACATATTATGGCGTGAATTAATTCTTTTTCATCAATTAAGCAGGAAATAAGTTTTTTAAACATTTCTAAACCTTTTAAAATTGTCTCAATAAAAACATCAAAGATTCTGAATGTTCACCTGTACCCGTTTTATAGAATTTGGTAGCAAGAGCAAAGAATGCGAAAGATGATATCATTTGTTCTTAGTCCTTAAAGTCTATATAAAATAATAGTTATGCAATTTTATGGATAATCTAACAATCTAATATACAGGATAGTAAAAAAAGAGTCTGTAATTCTAAGGTCATACAGTACTCATAGCGAGAAGCAAAAAATATCTAACAAACATAGGTTTTTAAATCTTAAAGTTAATTTTACATTGAAAGAATTTTATTTCTCGTAATGAATACTATGTACCCTTAAAGTTACAAACTTGTTTTCTTTACCAACTGTGTAGTTGGAACTTGTGAGAAATAATATGAATGATAGATATTTATATTATTATTATTTATATCTCCTGACTGTAAAAAATTATATTACAAACAACTAAACCTTTTAAACTAAATAATGAGATTATATTTTTTGATACAATGAGTAGTGCAACTAGATAAAGGTAGATATTTAATGTCTGCTAAATTGATATTTTATGTAGTATAAACCATAGAATTATGTAAAGTAATAGATAAAGTAAAATAGAAGTTGTATCATTGAACAATTTTACCTCTAAATTGCTAAGTTAAACTACAATGTTGTACAAATAAAAATTACAGCATGCAAATGATTATAAATAAGTAAAAGAAGAAATTTATAGAAATATTATATTTTGTGCAATAAACAAAACTAAAATTACTTCATTCTCATACCTATGGAATTTGTTCTATAAGCCAGCATATTTTTTTGTGCCAAAATAAAAAGTTTGTTTCAAAATAAAAATATAGCTATCTAATTACTATGCAGCGACATTTTTGTGTAATCATCTTTCTCATCTTATGAATTCGGATTGGTACATCGAAGTTACTATATTATTTCTCACCTGTTCCAACGAAATTGAAACACTACAAATGCCAAACTAAAAACATGTCTTCCTCCTTCGGAGTTCTATGCTCAAAAGTCAAGTACAATACCCTTATGTAGTTTCATACCAACTAATCCTCTGCGTGACCCCCAATAACTTACAAGACGTACTTTTAGGGGGCTCTGTACAGATAATGTTGTTTTAAAAAGACACTAGGCAAATATCAAGATGCAGAATACACAAGTGTCGAAGGGTACTTTCTTACCGAACCTAAGAATCCCCAGGATGGAGTGAGAGAGTAGAATTTGGAAGGCACGTAGTGACCAGGTGCTTGCTTTACCGTAGGGGTTGCCAAGGGTTTTCATGCAACCAATCGTCACGATAAATTTCGACAGATGTGCTACGACGCTGCTTGGACAAACCATGGTCACCTCTCATTCACAAACACCTTATTTTTTCTTGAGATTAATCTCGAGGCACGAGATTTATTAGGCTTGATAAAAATTTCCATGCGACCACGATCGAAAGACGCCAATGTGTAAAAGGGTCTTTCTTATACTGACAAGGTAAATAACTTTCTCTACGATTTATTTAATATTCGAGTAAGGTTATGTACGATCACATCGTTACCAATTACTCGATCGTTATTTTACAGCATACGATTCCTCGCTAGTGTATCTAAGTCTAAATTTGCTCAAGTTTATTAAAGCACCAGCGTTGACATAGATAGCAGCACGGACATCGTATTCTATTTAGATAGGTCGAATGTATAAAGTCTATCTGGGTCGTGATTCCGCACGATTCGCTAGATATTTCGTCCTTGATACCTTCGGCATAAGTATTTATTGTATAAATAGATACATATATCTTTCTATTTAACGCCCTTAATAACAGATTTGAATGTAAATGATTTGTTTATATCAACAACACTTTATTGCATTAGAAAATCCACATGACGAAATTTGAATTTTTCCAATATCATTTACACATGCCTACTACCGTAAAGCAATAATAACTTAATACAAAAAATAAAATTACCTCCAAGCTAATTGTTCATAAACGACAAAGTCGGATACGTAAAATTATAAACAAAGAAATTATATCCGATAATATACGATATATTAATACTTTTGAAAAAAGTATGCATACCCTTATTTATAACATACCCTTGTAAGTGCAATTAATACGATACAAAAGATAGCATTTAATATTTATGAAATCTGTAACTTAAAATATGAAGTTGATTAGAAGATTGCATACTACAACTTTCTTACTAGCGAAAGGGGAAACAAGATACTAAAGAAAAAACTATTATCGTAGATGTTTAGTCATAAACATAAAATATAATTTGATTAGATTAAATAAGCATCATAGAAAATAATAGCAACTGTAATACAACACGAATTTTGGAATTACTATCATAACGATATTTGTTCATAGAAACAACACTGTAAGCTGTTACTGTTGCACGTCATAGTTGTTTGCATCTAACCTAACTTCCCATACGTATATATTGCATGTAGATACGTATATACAATGTTGTTAGCTGAATTGGACAAATTTTATTTTTGAATAACGAATAAAAATATTAAATTCATTCGTAAACTAACTTTTGTCCACGGCTTTGCTCATCCAAAGGTTGGTTTAAAATATTTATTGATGTATTCTTTTTTATAAATTAATTTATGAATGAAACGTACACAGAGGTTAGTTTACGAATCGATCTGAAATTTGTACTCCATACACGAATAAAATTTACCCAACTCAGTTACAGTATGCTATATGTTTTTATTTATATAAACATGCAACACAAAATATTATCGAACTTGATTAGTACATAAATTCGATCTTCGGTTAAGAGGACAGCATTTCTTTCAGTCAAACACATTTTAGGGGTGGCAGTAATCGATCCCAAAACATTCTTCTTAAATTAATGAATGTATAAATACAGAGAGGTACTAGAAATCACAGTATTTTTTTTTTTTAAGCTAAAAGTATCGAATAATAACAATTAAGAAGAAAAAACGTATGTTTTCGATAAATATATGTAATATTGTTAGGATCGGTTCGGACGACAATAAGTGGATCTTTTTTTCTATATAAGTTTTATTTAAATCGAATAAGAAAAAATAGAGACTCAAGAATAATCCATATGAAAGAATATGGCTATTTTAGCATACGAAAAAAGTCTGTACGCAATCGCAAATAGCGAGCTTTATGTACGCAAAATAAAAGTCGAGAATATGACTGGAGGTGATCATCTTTTCTACGTTCAAAGCAACAACGTAACTAATATATCATCAATGTGCAATGACGGTTCCGGTAAAAGTTTTGCAGCAGTACTGCAGTATTTTTACCCTTGACAACGTGTCGTGTAATCGCGGTAAATGTTCGTGCGCACTCGACGTGAAATCGTTACACAAACCTAAATTCTGCACGAACTTCAAGGCATTGGAAATTCGGATTTTGTTTGTTGCAGTGATTCTCAAACCAATCACACCGTTCAAGTGTCCCTTGTTTTTTAATTTTACAAAATGCTTAATGAAAAATGTCAATTTGCGTAAGTCCAAAACGAACGAAATTATTCAGGAACCTTGACAATTGTTTAACCTATTCGACTCGCTGGTTTTGAATATCGTGTGGCTTAAATATTTTTTGAATAATTTTATGTCGGAAAAGCATTTACAGTAGCGAATGCTTCCATATTTTTATCGATAATGCAAGTATATCAATAAACAGGAATTATATAAATTAATAAAGAGATACAGATTCTAGAACATCAATAAAAAAAAGTCATTTGTGTGATAGTTAGTATATAAGGAATTGAATAAGGTTATAAAATTTCTCTCGTAACTTTTATTATGTGTAACAATGATGCTATAAAAAAAAATAACTCTTTTTATTTTTGTCAGTTCGAACGTTAGTTCGTTTATGAATTGCTGTGTTTTACCCGGTTAGTGCTGCCATCTGACGCGTCAAAAAATCCCCAAATATTTGGCAGATCGTAATCAATAACAGAGGAAACAGTGTATGTGATATTTTATATTTATCAATATTTTATTTTCGTATCAACGTGATCACAGGAAATTTATTATCTAAATTAATAGTATTATTTTATTTTGGCAAAAACAATATTGCAACATTCAAGCATAAAATATTTTCCACTTGTATTACAAACGTGGAGAAAAAACAAATACACGCTCCTAGCAAAGATTGAAAAAATATATCGAGAGAAATGAACACACTTTGTCCAAAAGTAAATAACATTTTACTAACAATCTCATTCACAAACCAGTTGATTATGCAAATTTAAAAAGTACATAATTATATTATTTAAGGGATACTTATTTTTAGTTCAGCGTACTATTACAACAATTAATATCACAATAGTATCATGGCACATCGTGGAACGATTAACAGTGCAATTTTATTATCACAGTTTAACAAACGATGTATCTACATTATTAACATTTTTTATACACGTCCGTTTCGTAGCATTACATAGTAACGACTGTTCCCATAAATTGATTCTTGCAATTCTGTGTATATTTACAAGTCAATTTCTAGATAAACTATTTCACGGTTAGAGACGCGCTGATTATAAATAGAATTTTTGCGACATTTTTACATTGAGCGCCAGGAACTCTATTTTAAAATATAATCGGGCGCATGCCGCAAAGCGAATAGTAATTTAAAATTAACGGGCCCTTGAAAAGTGTCACGATTCAGTCCGATCAATAACGACGAGAAAGTATAAATTTTTAGTTAGTTAGTTATTACTTTGCGAAAATGGTAAATATTTTTATAAGTAATTTTTTCCTCCTAGCTTTTATAACCATTTATGCAACGCTGCAATTATATACTGTATATGTATGCATACGAGTTAAAAATTTTGGAACAAAAAACTTTGTATAGTTTTGTTTATTAATATATTTTTACAATACGAAATAATTCGTACATACTGTCACTTACACTTTAAAACAAGTATATAATAACCATTCTTGTGTCACTTTAGACTTTCGTTATCTTCATAAAATATAAATAAATTCAATATTCCGAATTTTTATGCACTATTTTGCAAATTTTTACTTTCAAATGCTCAAATGAATCCACTTGTCCATAATTCCAATTATAAATTCTAAATCTCCATCTCCGTATTTAAAAACCGTTTTAACCTGGGGTTGAAATATTTGTAGAACTTTTTTAATAATGTACGTTGAAACGGTTTAAATGAAACTTTTATAATAAAAGTTTTCAGAATAGAAGTTCCTACGAGAAAAGATAAATAGAAGTTTCGACGATAACAGACAAATAGAAATTCTAGTTCGAATAAAATTGAATAAGAAATTAAATAAAAGTTTATGTACATTGCCTAATTTCGGAAAAATTTATTTATATTTATCAGCATTTATTTAAATTTGTTTATTTAAAGGGTATAGCCGAATAAGGGGGTCAAATGTGCCCCCAAACCGAATGGAACGAGCCACGGGTCATTCGATAGCAAAAAAAAAATAACCACTGTGTGCAAATTTTTAACTTGAAATCTCGACCGTGGGGGTAGTAATGGGGTGAAAACGAAAATCATGTTTTTGAATTATTTCTCTTGACCTATAGAGTAAAAAAATGTAAAAAAATTCAGAGACATTTCGGGTACCGGGGCACATACTTTGGGAGATTTTCAGATTTTTTGATTGAAGAACCAGGTAGTGAAAAATAAAAAACAGCAAAAAATGCCGAAAAATGCCGATTACGTATTGAAGGAGGCCCGGAACTACTTTTATACTTTTACAGTAAACAGGTATTACTATTACTATTATTCTCAATTTTTTTCAGATTTTTCATTTTGGTGCGCCGCAGTGAAAAAAAATAAAAACCGAGTTTTTCCTCGTTTTCTGCGTATTAGAGTAACTTACACGTTGAATTTTTATGCATCCTTCAATATATAAGTGTTTTGTAGACTGTTTAATGTTTCTACACTAAGCAGAATTACATAACAATTGAAACAAATAAAATAAAGCCAACCATTGGGTGTATATATCCTAAAAAATCAACGATATTTTCAACGGCGTCGATGGCGCAGCGTTAGAGTGTCCGACTGCTGAACCGCTGGAAGTTTTTTTACCGTAGGTTCGAGTCTCTCTTCTGGACTTAGTATTTTTTTTTCTTCATTATTTTTTTTTTCAAATTCTAACTATATAACAATGCTTTATATTTATTTATAAATGTTCTGATAGCATTTTACAAATATTTTAACCTGAAATATGTATAAATATAGTCTTGAAGTGTTTTTTGCGTTTTTATTTTTTTTGTCAACCACGATTATTGTTTAACATCTCTTACACTGAAATTAATGTGAAATGTTAGTTTTCAAATCTCTTACCTTTGACTATTGTGAATGGATCGGAGCAGAAGATTGTATATTGGCTTACTATTACTTCTTCTCGCCCTTCGATCAAGCAGATCTTTCCTTCTCGTTCTCTTTCTTTGATAAATATGAATGTTTGCTGCGGCTTTAGTATCTAACGTAGACATGTAAGGGTTATTATCCTTTCCTTACTGCTGGTTTTAAAGATAATGGAAACACTTGTAGGACCAACCTCTACGGACCATGCCAAGTAATTATGTATAAATCCCATCGCATACAGTAGCTTGAACTGAGTAATTAAAAAATACATTGTGAAACCCGAACGCGACAATCACCCATTGACCTGAACGGTCTGGGCCCTCACCCAACGAACCTTTATTTCCTTCGTAACGCAGGTAGGACAATTAATCATTTTTCCCCGTGGTTTCCATCGAGCAATGATACTTCATTCAAAAATAAGCATGAAACGATCAAACTGGTACTTAAAAATGGGTTTATTAGAAAAAAGTATCATTGGCAGAGAGTGGGTTAATAGATTTGGCGTGGAATGGCCCTTACATGTCTACGTTAGATACTGAAGCCGCAGCA